GCCAGGCCCAGGCCCGCCCTCTGCGCGGGCCAGCCCTGTCCGTGACCAGCCCCAGGGGCCTGCGGCTCTGGCACTTCAGGGGTGAAGTAACCAACCCGGCTGCCCACCTCCTCTCCCAACGAGTCTGAAGGACGCATGTGCACGCGGGCTCCAGGTTTTATGTCCGCTCGGACGGTTTAGAGGCGCCACCACGCAGGCCACACCGCGGGCTGGGCCTCACGGACGGCAACACCGAGCACAAGGACAGGAGTGGCAGAGGAGGAAACAACCCAGGCGTCTCTCAGCTCACACGCGGACCGGCCACATGGGGTCTAGCCCCACGACACAGCGTTATTCAGTCGCGACAAAAAGGACTTGCTGGCGGGGCGCGGTGGCTCACATCTATGATCCCAGCACTTTGCGGGGCCAAGGAGAGAGGACTGCCTAAGCCATGGGTTCAAGACCAGCCTGGGCAGCTAGGTGAGACCGCGTCTCTACAATAAGTCAAAAGACTAGCCGGACGTGGCGGCACACACCTGTAGTTCTGGCTACTTGGAAGACTGAGGCGGAAGGATTGTCTGCGCCCAGCAGGTCAACGCTGGGGTAGTCATGAGGGTGCCACTGCACTCCAGCCTGGGTGACACAGTGGGACTCTGACTACAAAAAAAATTAATAGTAAGGCTGGGCTCAGTGGCTCAACCTCTAATCCCAGCGCTTTGGGAGACCGAGGCAAGAGGACTGCCTGAGCCCACGGTTCAAGACCAGCCCGGGCAGCTAGGCGAGACAGCGTCTCTACGCTAAATCAGAAATTAGCCGGGCATTGTAGCACTCGCCTGTAGTTCCAGCTACTGGGAAGGCTGAGGCGGGAGGATGGCCTGAGCCCAGCAGGTCAACGCTGGGCCAGCTTGGGCTACAGAGTGAGACTCCAACTCAAAGAAAATAAAGTCGTGCTGGCCCACGCGACAGCCCATGTAAATGTTAAGCACGGGGCGCCAAGTCGGAGAAACCACTCCCAACATGACACTGGACTGTGTGACTAACTTCCACGAAACGCCCAGATGGGGAAACGAGGAGATAAGGGACGACAGACAAAAGGTATCGAGTCTGAGTGACAGAAAGTTCTAGAACTGTGATGACGGTCCACAAACCTGCGCTCCTGCAAAACCAGGGACTGCACAACCTAAATGGGTGAGCTGTAGGACAGTTACAGCTCAATAAAAGTGTCACCTGCCAGGTAGGGTGGCTCACACCTGTACTCCCAGCATTCTGGGAGCCAAGGTGGAAGGATCGCTGCCGCCCAGGAGTTCAACACCAGTCTAGACAGCATGGCAAGACCTCGTCTGTCCAAAAAAAAAAAAAA